CGGCCTCTTGCTCTGATGAAGCGCTCCCTCCCTCCCTTCCCCAACCCTCCTTCTCCACCCGTCCCTTCCGCTCCATGCGACGCCGACTCCACTCCGGTCCTGTGTCTGCCCGGACCGGGTAATCGTCGGACAGAGCAAGTGAACACAGAGCTGGATTCCGACGGAGGCGCGGCACAATGGCTCACGCCCAGCTCGTCAACGTCGCGGGCGAGGTAATTGGGTTACTTCAGTTCGGAACCGCTGCGATGAGAGCAACTGGCGCGAGATTTAAAAGTATGAGTCATAGAAGTAAATCCAGATTGGTGGAATATCACTAGATACCTGGCTTACAACAGTCTTTTGGTTGATTGACTCATCAGTGATTCCGGGAGCGCCTACTGTCAGATTGTTAGTGATGTAAGTGAAGTGCATGTTTTATCGGGTGTGTTGGCGGTGATCTCCCGCCAGATGGCAAGATTAGCCGCCGACCTGCACGTTGACATGCGAGGTTTTCCCCAACCAGGTATCTCCCAATAGCGGAGCACAGTGGACCCGGGATCAGCTCTAAGCTTTTCACTGATCTACCGACATGTGTGGTAGTACAGCGCAAGTGAGAGTAAGTGTTGTAAGAATAGCCCAAGGAAGAGGAAGGAAATATCGCGCGCGGTCCGTGGCCCGTTTGTTAGGCTACTCCTTCAGTATTTGCCTGATGTTGGCCGAAGAAACCACGGAAAACTGCCGATCAGAGCAGCCGGGCTCTAGAATTCCCCTCCAGTCCCGGTAGCATCCGTTAAAGTTCAGGTTGTCTGAGAATAACAATTTTGGAAAAAACCTTCTGAACGGTTTAGGTGCGAGCGTTGTGTACATGTGCGCGCTCGAACAGACATACGTTCTGCTGTCAATCGATTCTTTGGTATCAAGGAACCACAAACCTCCGGTGTGTTGTTACCACACAAAGTGTTAGAGGAAGTAATTTACTCTACATAGGAACAAGATTTATTCAATGTTTCTTTTTCAAAGCTCCGCAACGAGTTTTTTTCTATCGCAAAACAGCCGATTTCAGCCGCAGTATTACAATACCTTCTCTTTAATTTCTGGTAATAATAATAGAGGTCGACAAATTTGAGAAATGTAATTTAATATTACTTTGTATTTGGAGATTGCTAAAAGATCCCTTAATCGGATATATCTATTAAAGTTCATTGACCGTCAGAAGTCTGTTAATACTAGAATGATCCTGACAATATGCTAATATTACACAAAGAGTACAATGTTATAGAACCTAATTTCGTCTGCTCTAATTCAGCTACATGTAGAACGAATCTCATCAGGAAATAATCCAGTATAACGCAAAAGAAAAACGCCATCCCAAGGGATACCACAAAAAGCGAAACTAGTTCGAGCAGCCCAACTTATAGTTTGTTCCTCTTGAGCCGGTTGCAGAGGAAAGCGCCCCCCCCCCGGGAGCGGCGGGGCACGCACCGCGTCGCACGCCCTGGCCGCACGCCAGCCCCCGCCCCGCCCCGCCCCCACCCTCACGCGGAGACCATGAGACGCATTAGTCACATCTGGCCCATTTCCGCACCGCGCGGAAAATAGAAGTCGTTTGCATGCTTAAGTATCCGCCATAAGTGAAAAAGACCGTGAGACGACAAAGAAAATTGCGCTTGCGAAGAAACGCGGCAAACGAAGAGTGATAACGCAGGCAAAAGAAACACAAAAGAAGTAAACCAAGGCAATCACTTCTCGAATAACGTGGAGAGCGTAGAAGAGAGCACTGCGTTCTAAGGAAGGAAAATTTAGGAGAACGAAGGCTTCAAGACGATCAAAGCAGGCCCGGACTAAGCACGGAGCGGCCACTGCGGAGCCTTCGCAAAATCCATACAAACGGACAGGAAGCTCGAAGCAGTGAAACAAAGGAAGGGAGAAATAGTGAAAAGGGTTGTCAAATGCTGCATATTCTCACGCACTACGAGGCTGTACCCATGAAAAAGCTCTGCATCGACAACGCGATTAGAAAAGAAGCAACTCGATATTCTTCAGTCAGTAACCCTTGCTGCTTCACTGTCTACTGCTAATTGTATGGACTTAATTTCGTACGTGCGTTATCGTTCAAACTCTGTCTTCTCAGATATCAGTTTTCTGATCGTGTTGTTATGTGTTGGTGAAACCTATGAACGCGAGTCTAATAACGGAAGTTAATTTGCCCTTACATTTTGGCTTGGTGATAGGCGATATTTCGTTACAAATTTTATAGAACGCAGCTGATATACTTTCTAATATTCCTTGTCTACCACAACAAGAGAATCTCAACAACAAGAGGTGGTTTCTTTCAACTATTAACACCGACTTTCAATTATTAACACCGACGAGATTTCAAACAAAGAGTGATTATCGCTCCATGGTTATCACTAAAAAATTGAGGGCTATCACTCCCTCCCTTATCAGTGTGCCCTACTTGCTCAAACTCGATTGTCACAATAGAGTTGGTGAAGAGAGTGGCAGCGTACCGCTAGTTAATGCTTTAACATTGGTTCCAACTAAATTAAATGAGCCTAAAAACGGAAAACTCATTTCAAGTTTTTTGAATAGATAGAAGGTGAAAATTGTAAGCTTTCTAATCATTTCATGACCCCCAAAAAACAATCGTACATACGCAGCGTCATGAATTCAAGAAAGTGGGTCTGGAAAAGTGGGAAAATTAGTCGTGAAGGCTATCGGTGAATTCCGAACGACTAATAAATGAGTCTTTAAGAACACAACCTATAATAACAGCCGTTTCTCAAGCATTTTAAAATCAACACAATTACTTCAAGCATCTTAAAATCAACACTGACAATTGATCCTTAGCACTAACAATGTTCAAAAGTATTGCCTATTCATTTAATAGTAACAATCTATATGAATTTCAAATGAAGCAGTTGCAAAGAGTTAGATGATAAGAAAAAATAAAGAGTCGCGAGAAAACAATCGAAAAGCAGGCGATAACCTGACAAAGAGCCAAAGTGAGGACGGGAGCAAATGGGAAGTCGGCCGAGGACACGGTTGCTGGTTTGAACGAGGACAAAATCGCGGCCGCAAGGCAGCAAGGGCGAGGGCGAGGCCGTAGCAAGAGCAAGGTCGGGGCCTGGGGTCGCGGCCAAGAGCGCCGCGCGGCGGGAAGTGGCGAAACTCGGCCCACGCGGAGAGCCTTCACACAGTCCTGGTCCCGAAGCGGCGAGGAAACCAAAGACGATAACAGAGGAGATGTAACGAAAATAAAAAAGATTTTCCAAACGAGAAAGCAAATAGTGATAAGAACCATTGGAACTGAACGATCGTTCTTGAAAAAACGGCAATTTCTCTTACTACATCCACTAAATACCTCATTAAAACAGTTCCATAATATAGTTTTCATTTCTTTAAAGGTTATAAGAAAAAATAATTAGGCATCCCCGGAAACAATTTTACACACTTTTTTCGTCTTCTGGAAGGTACACGTGGTACAGTCTTTTATCGTACCTCGCCTTTTTTGGTGTCCTTGTCGAATAGAGTCATTGAGAAAATAACCGTACGGGTTTCACAAGAGTTTGAGATCTGGACTTTTCCCAAATCAGTGTCGAACTGAACACATACATGCACCATTCGTTTAAAAGTCCTTCACACTATCCAACAACCAAATTTAATCCATTTTTTTTTTTTTAATATTTGCAAATGTGTCAAGAGCTTTACATAAAGTACCTTCTAAAATTAAAATGTTGGTTTCAAATTCATGGGGCCGCGACATCAGCCAGATCGATTGGCGAATATCAATTTTGAAGAAAATCGGCTGAGCAGTTCAGCCGCTATCGTTGTTCACAAACGGACGGACAGACATACAGGTTTTACCGTCATCGAGTTTTCGCTATCAATAACCCACACAACATGGATTTTGGCCACACCATATGTTGGAGGATTTTTACCTAAATTTAGCAACAGGATTTATCCAAATCTTCGTTACCACGGCCTTAATGAGAGTTTTCTACCAAAAAGTCGCCGTTTTTTCGCGCAGCATTACATGACTTTCCCTCTACTGTGTAGGCGGTAGCGAGAAAGTAAAAATTGAAGATGTCCTTAAGAATCCATTTAAAGTATCATCCAAAATTAAAATGTTCGTCTCAAATACAAGGGGCCGCGACACCAGCCAGATTGGTCTGGGAGTACAAATTCTATTTAAAATTGTACTAATGGTTTAGCCTCTAGGTGTTTCGTGTTATTCCCAGGCAGACACAGCGTTTTGCCTAAACCAAATTTCCTGGGTCAAGGACTTACAAAATCAGGATTGTGACTACACAGAAGGTTAAAGGAGATAATTTACTTCACAGGAACAAGAATTATCCACCTTCGGTATTAGGGTCCTAAAATAAGAAATTTTCTGGCGAAAATTGGGATTTTTCGCTGCAACATTGCGTGCCATTATACAACGTATGTGATATGGAAGAAAGGAAAATACAAATATCGCTTGGTAGAGTGTAATTATTCTCTATTTTTCAACCGAGGTTCCTACACAGTTCGGGCACTCATCCCACCGCTTGAAATGAGATTCCTTAAGACTGGCTCATAAACGTTAGATTGCCTCATAGTGTTCTCAAGTGGAAGTGTATCATTTGCTTCAAGTTTTAGAACCTCATCTCAGTGAAACCTGCCCCTTCGAAGATCTTTTTTTTCAAAAACAAAGCGATGGTAATCGTTGAGAGTAATGCCCGAGTAGTAAGATGTTGCCCAAAACTGTCAGGGAGCCCAGCGTAGTGACTACCGTGAATGCGTCTTTGAAAAAAAAATAACTTAAGGAGTAGGTGTCACTTGATAAGCATCCGATATAGAACTAAATGAAGTAACAATTTAGTAGAGACAACGGGACCGATATTTTTGTAAGGAACAATGATTCTCATTCGTCATAAATGTCTGAACAGAGAGGGAGACTGCGATGAAAAATCGTATGAGAAGTAATTGCCAGACGTCTACGAGCAATAAATACCAAGTGGCAGATACCATTAGAAGGATTATCCTTCCACAAAACGCCTGCGTGAGGAAGGAGGAACGCAATGCCTTGCTTACCTGGAGGACGGACTTGTCAAAGCTGGCGACGAGCTCCCCGGGCTGGGCGGGACGGCTAGTGGACGCGGGCGCGGGCGCGGGCGAGGGCGCTGGGGACGGCTCCGGGGACGGCGAGGGCGGCGGCTGGGCGGCGGGGGCGGGAGCGGGGGCGGCGGCCGCGTCCTCTGCAGCGCCCGCAGCCCCGGCCGCCTCTGCAACACACGCACAACACAACCACTTCTTTATTTAACGTCAGTTAAAAACAGTTAAAAACTTTGTGACATAGTATGGAGAGAAGTGCAATATTTACGTGGTGTCTTGAGCACTGCGACGTCTGTTCTATCTCATAAACATATTGATTACTAGCTATTGTTTCTTTAATGCCCAAGAAAAAGAACTATTCTTCAATCTTCCTTTTACACATAATAATAAGAGATAAGTGTCTGAAATTGAATCCCCATATGCAATTGGTAATGCATCGGAATGATAAGTAAATAATGTCCCGTCCTTCCAGTACGATATTTCCGCTCTCTGAGATCGTAGTCTACTTTATGAGCATTACCAATCTACAGCAAATACCACGAAATCCACGCGAAGGTAATTTTGAAAGTAAATTATTGTGAACAATGACGTTATTTATATAGATCAATAAATAAGCCGATAACGGCTTCATTTTGATCCGCTGATGCGACTTCTTCGAGAAATGAAAATACGACTGTTTCCACTTGGTCCAGAGCTACGCACAAGACAACCCCTTGCCTCAGCGTCACACTCAACGCAACCTCATGCCTCAGAGCTGCGCACAACGCAACCTCATGCCTCATGTCTTGCACCACACTGATAAATGTTAGAAGTGGATTGAATTCGCGTCGTGCTTCACGCATTCATAAAAAGAAATTATTGTACAAAGCATCAGTTCGTTGTTTTCTATTAAGTAGAGCACAAAACATGCAGAACAACTCAGATATTAAGTCGGTGCGTTTTCTGAAAATTCAAAAAATCATGTGTTGAGCTTGAAGTTTAACCTCATATTGAAATGCAGTATTCTTGTATTCACACTTCTACCATTTTTTGGTGGAATACTAGTCAGTAGGATATGAGGTTGTTGTTGCTGGAAAGAAGACTAATCTGCAATTCTAGAAAGTGCATCAACTCAAAATTCGTATCTTTTGAGTCATGCCACTAATGTAGCCCACGAACGAAGCGAAGCAATAAAGGGAGGACCTCCCAAGATGTGTCGGAATCGGAATAGTGGAACTTATGCAGCCAACGGTTCTCTCTAAGGCGCATGCCACTATCTTTGCTGGTATCGCGAGAGAAGGCTCAGCGCCTCTACTGACGTCACTCCAATGCCTCTGACCGGGAGGTTCTACGTTCCAGTCCCGACGGCTGCAGGATTTTCAGCACTAGATTGATTGCTATGTGGAATTCAGTCGCTGTCTGGAAGAGAATTCTAGCAGCCGGCTACTCTAATCGGTAGTTTTCCGTGGATTCCCCTATCATCAGCGGGCGAATGCCGGAGCAGTACCTGACAAACGGTCCAGTGACTGCGCGCAATTTTTCACTCCCCTTCCTTTTTCTATCCTCATCTATTTACACTTACTGCACTACACTACCCCATATGTCGCGAGAGCAGTCGGAAACTCGTCCAGGCTGGAGCTGTGCCTTCCTAGCGAGAGATACCTGGTTAGGGGAAACCCCGCCAACCGACGGTAGGTCGGCGCCGGTTCTCACCATACAGCGGGCGAAAGATCACTGACACCCTTGGAAAGCACATGCACTACACTTTTGGGACTAATGACATTAGCTGTTGACGCGCCAGGAATTATCAATCACTCAACATTTTTTTTTATCAGACGATCAGTAAAGAAAACCTGGAGGTTGCCTTCAGTTGCCAGGAAGCTTTTGTTGCAGTGGGCGTCAGTACACGGTACGTCAGTAAAGAGAACATCTCCGTGTGTGTGTGTGTGTGGGGGGGGGCTAACGTCATGACGCGAGCGAGTGATGACTGGCTATCGCGAAGTGTGAATAACGTGTCATCAGACCAATAAATAGCTTTGGGTTTCAATCCTTTTAGTAGATTATACATACAGCGTACCTTGAAATGAGGCAGCACTGGGAAGAAGACAAATGTTGAGCATATCTAACAATTTTCGTAGTTCCTTATCTACTTTAGGCGGTTGCAAACTAATTATGATGTCGACATTATTTCCAAGAGACGATATACAATCTTCGGAGATGGAGTGTTCTAAAAATTCAATAGTGGTTTTAGCGAAATGACACTTGTTCACGTTAATTAAAACGCCGTTATCCTGAAAGGCTCTAGAAACTTGGCGGACGAAGCTAATTTGTTCCTCGAAGCAACGAGAGAAAAAATTAAAATATCATCAATAAATGTGAAGCAGAAACTAAAATCCCCAAGTACATTATTCTCTGAAATGTGTCATTCATTTAACGTCAACAACAGTTCAAAACTGTGTTTGACGTACTCTGAGGAGAAGTGTAATTTGTGTAAGTTCTGTTAAATTTTGGGATACCTACCCTAAACCACATACAAGTTGAATTCTAAATACAAATAAAAATGAGCGTTTCGGGGCAAAAACTGGTTAGAAAATATTCGTTCCCATGAAAAAACACTATTTGCAAATGCATATCAGCTACTGATTTTTTGGCTCTAATTCCTCACAGAAGGAATGAGAGCCAAAAGCTTCATGACGGAATCGACTTACTGCCCCGAAAATATGAAAAACGATCATTTCAATTACTATATTTCTCACTAAACTCCAAAAGGTTTGTCCAGCATTGCACACTACACTTACGGAACTAATGGCATTAACAGTTGACGCTCTCGAAAACACCAATCGACCAATCCAGGTTTGCGTAACCCGATATTCATAATAGGGAATTAGAAAAGCCAAAAAGAGGGCGGCTGTACTAATTTGGTAAGTGGTTTGGGTTTAAAGGTTACTTGCGTAGAAGTCTTGAGTATGTCTCATGACGTAAAACACGCCCTGCAATCGAACGTTGCAGTACTGGATGTAGCTCACCGAGTAGGGTTTGCGATGGTATGGGCATTTAATGCGCAATACGGTTCCATCCCGAAATCTTTTCTGGAGAGTAAAGTCACAAGGTAGGCGACGCCTTCACGTATCAGCGCGTCAAATTTCAATATTGCAGCCTTCATATCGAGACAGCAATAGAGGGCTGAAAAACGGACTCCCGGTTGTATTGATACAATGTACTCTATCATGAAGCATGCTAGAACGAGAGTTCCCTGCGAGTCGCGAAATGCGCAGAAACTGCACCAAACTTTTATTGAATATTTCGTCTTCGTACTGACTCTCCAGTTTGTTTACCTGGAGTGTAAAAACCTGGTGCGAGAAATGGTTATATCAGCGATGGTAGTATCAGTGAAGAGGGCGGAGGAACAATGAGGTACTAGATGAAACGGTTAGAAAATCGGCGTTGTGTCGTTGGAAATCTAGGAAATCGGGGGCGGGGGAATCAATATAACGAATTACAGACAATAATATACTGTGGCCATTGAAATGGTACTTATTATTTGAACTATGACATGTATATTATTATTATTATTATTATTATTATTATTATTATTATTATTATTATTATTTTGTTTGTTTGTTTTGCGAATCGGCCATCGCGATACATGAATCCCACCAGGTCTCAGTCAAGATTTTCGGAGTAGGTGCAAGTTACTTTCTATTGGGGGGATCAGTATATTAACGCTGATTCCATTACTACACCCTCACGGTAGTTAGGCCTAGGGGATGGGGTGGCATTGTGATGATGTTGAATGTTGAAACAGACACACAAACATGCACATACAAGCACAATACAGCCATGCCCGACTGGGGACTCGAACTGGCGATCCTTTGGTCCGAGAGCCACTGCACTACTGCCTTAACGATTTGTGCCATCGGATTATTATTATTATTATTATTATTATTATTATTATTATTATTATTATTATTATTATTATTATTACTAATTGCTCCCTGTTAAGAGAGGTCAATGAAGCAACTGACGCACAAAATGTGTGTGTGCGCGCGGGCGCGTCGCCCCCAGAACAAACAGGATCATCCGCTCGATGGAGGCGTCGACACGCTCGGCGTCGCAGGCGCCCGGGTCAGCGGGTCCGTCACGCGCCCCGCTCCTCCTGCCTCCCCTCCCCTCCCACTCCGGTCCCCGCGGAGCAGCAGCTCCGGGCGCCACTAATGGATGTGCCCACCGCGCCGCCCCCGCCGCCGCCGCCGCCTCGGTTCGGCCAGCTGCGCGCCGCGCGGCTAAGATATTACACGACGAATAAGCGAGATACAGCCACACACGAAGCAAGAAGGGAAGGCACCACATTAAACGAGGGTCGGGACGGAGCAACAAGGTGGATGCAAGTGGCGAAAGCAAGAGGGTCAGAGAGACACACCGAAGTAAAAAAAAATAGCTTTTTGATATCAAGAATCCACAAAATCCGAAATCTGAACATGGATTCTTTTGCATTATTATGAAGTACTAACTTTCTCTATTCCTCGTTATGATAAAATATAAATTCTTATGTAGAGAATAAAAAAAACGTGTAAGATGTAAAATTTCAAAAGGAGCAAGCAGAAAAATAGATATTAAACTCCAAAACATTTCACAATTTGCATTTAGAGAAGGGTAACTGGCGAGTGGGAGGACGAATCCACGAGCGGAGGCGGGGCAGTGGGAGTTGAGGGGGTGGGGTTCGACCCCCAAGATGCTGGTCACCAAGGGCCCCGTGTTCCCCCTCGCTTCGATTCTCAGATATATGTCGCCAGAATGCGCTGCCTCCGCGATGAGCGACTCCCTTCCACCGCACGGCCGCCGCAACCACTGCACATCTCGCCTTACGGCGACGAAATGCCAACGGTAGATAAATGCAGAAATAAAATGCACCTGCAGAACATCCGATGTCAACCCAGGCTCAACATTTTCCGTACATTCAGTAT